AAGGCAGGGCCGTGTCAGACACACACACCCGAATACACAAAAAAGAACACTCAAGCATGTCAAAGGATAGGATATATACACGGATACACACAAGCTCTGGCACATCCTAAAGGTAGACACAAACTTTGACCAACGAAACACAAGCACATCAGATGAAAGGGTATAGACATGCATGTTAGTAATATGCCAACACGTTTTCCAAACACAAAAAGAACAGAGACATGCACACAAAGAACATACGAGAGAAGAGGCACATCTTCAGATGCAGGTACAGACACATAGTTGCTCTATCGAAACCATATAGTCATGACTTTTTTCAAAGAATGGTCTGATCTTAAAGGAGTAGTTCACCCCCCCAAAAAAAATCCCCCTTGTGTTGTTCCAAACCTGTTGGAGAGTATTTACTTTGTAAAAAAACAAAAGAATGTATTTTGAAATCTCTCTCTCTCTCTCTCTCTCTCTCTCTCTCTTTCTCTCTCTCCATACAATGAAAGTCAGTGGGATCCAATCTGTTTTGGACCTCCTTCATCGTACAGACAAAAACTGACACATTCTTTAAAATTTATTTTTTTGTGAACCACAGAAGAAAGAAAATCATACGGGATTGGAATGACATTAGGGTAAGCAAATGACAGAATTTTCTTTTTTGGGTGAACTATCCCTTTAACTAAAGGTAGTGACACGTGAAGTTTTCCATACCATACCCAAATCCACACCCATAATCCTCACATACATTCTATCCGACTATTCAAGCTCACCCCATCTGAAGTTTGCTCACACTTTAAAAAACCTCCATCTCAGTCAGTGGGTCCCGCACATATAGTGGATCTACAGAGTCATTCTGGGTCAGTTGCAGCTGGCCTGTGCTCATTTTCCCCAAACGTATTAACATGATTTAATAGACAACAGAGAGATGCATTTCAGAACCTATTGAATGAGGCGTCCTACTCTTAAATAACGTCGTTATTCTCACGCAAGAGAGATAGTAGCTTTGTACTTGACTAATGTGAGTTTTCAAGAGAAAGCATAGTGGCTAAAAGCCGATATAATGCCGTTATTGGCCTGTAATGCTAATGTTTTATGCCTTTTTGTACTGTATTTACTTGAACAAGAGAAGAAGAAAAAAAGGAAATGGAAAGTTCATGGCTGTCAGTGAATTTTGGAACTGAGACATAACCTTTTCATTAATTAGCCATGTGGACACCTGTTTTTGTACAGTGCCAATAATTATCTCAAAATAGCCAAATGTCAGCTGATTAACTGGCCTGTTCAATATTGTTCTATCCTTTAGACATACGTTTGTAATTACCGTAAGTGATAATGTGAAAAAAGATATATATTAAGTAAATATTTGCAATGTTGAAATATGCATATTGTCGTTTTCCTTTCAATTCTGAACGTGTTGCAGGTCAGTCGGCGTTGTTTTCTCGGAGAACTAAGTAAACGCGAGAATGTGCGAGGTCATCTCACCCCGACCTTGCGCCTAAATGGCTTCAATCTGATTGGACAATCTGTGCTTTTGCCAAGATGGGGTGGTAAACATCGCAGTCCAGTTCATCAAGACTACTCATTGAGCTACGACGACAGCGAACGTAATATAACTGGTTTGTTGACCAATAACGTCTGGTCAGTAGAACATGTAGGCTATTAGAAAAACAGGAACAAATTAAAACAAATTTAGCCTATCCACTACAACCTAATATAGGCTACCATCCATTGTCATATATGTATTTTTTTATAAACCAATTTTACGTATTGCGGATATTTTAACGCCTCTCTATCTTTGCCCAATAGGCTATTTTAAATATATTTAATTATCGAAAGGAAAATAATTGTTGCTAATATTATACATTTCAGTTGTTCCATCCATTCACACTAGTACTGTAACATAACGTAGCCTATATTCACTTGGCTGTGAGTTAAATTGTGAGCATTTGACTAGTCCAGAATTATTACACCTTGCTGGATTTGAGAAAGTATGAGGGATTTAACGAAATTTGTGAAGGCATTTAAAATTAGTTTTGGTGTTATTCGGTGCAGCTGTTAGTCATGAAAATGAATGACTAATGAATGGTATCAAAATGAAATACTGCAAAATGTTAATTGGTTTCCCTAAATAGCTGTCTACTGTAAACTCAACATTTAAAATACCACTGAACTATAGATTGTATTTCACTTTTTTATTGTGTGTAAGGCTGTAACACAACAATTCAAATAAGAGACCATTGCACAGTTTGAATAACAAAATTGCCCATTATTATGGAAATCAGAAGTGCTATCAGTGACACCAATATTAGCTATTACAGTTGTCATACAATACAAAGGCTATCGGGTGAGATATTTGGGTAATACAGCAGCCGCTGAAGAAGGCTATGGTTCCGCTATAGGCTATATACTCTAAAAAATGCTGGAAGATATTTAACCCAAAAGTTGGGCTAGTCCATATTTGACCCAAAGTTGGG